GATCCTGATTATCCTCATTACGAATATCAACAAAGTATACTTCAATACTTTTAAGCATACCTTCACAATAGTGTTGATATAATTCACGTATGTCCTTACCATCAATCTCGTAAGCGGTCACCGATGCATTGAAAGCTATGATGCCGGTCCATAATAAAATAACTGCTTTTAAACAATTCCTGAAATATACATGGATATTCATAAATATTCTTTATTACTCACTCAATAATAATTTAAAAATGACATTCGAATGGTAGATCCAGAGTTATTTATCAAATAACTCTTTTCAGTAAATTTTTTACTTGACAAACTACTTGAAATGATTTTTTCTGATTTGAATTTAAACTGACAGAATTTATTTTATCAAAGTCATTAGTGAGTGGAAGAACGGAAGTTAGCATTGTATAAACATTATTACATTATTAAGGTACTTACATCGTCTTCTTTAAAAATGTCGATTCTGTGCCAATTTTGTATGACCTTTAATAATATAATAGATCAATGATTTTGAATAAACTTTCTAAAATAGTAGGATGTCTGATACTCTGATGTCTGACAGGAGAACAGCTACGTGTGGTCGTTACAAAAACAATTTAAATGGCGTCTTAGCTCTCATCGCACACACACACACACACACACACACACACAAACGTTGAATGACAGTGGTACCATCATAACATGCCCTTTTTTTTTTTTTTTAATAATTATTAACAAATTATATTAAAAACAAAATGACCAACTAAAAATATAATAACAACTAGCCTTCCGGCCTAGCCGGGGGGCCTACCGACCCCCCAGTGTTACTTGTAAGTGAGTACCGATTTCGGAGACACAGTCGAATCATAAATTTCGCACTTATGTAGAAGGTGATTTTGGTTATCAGAGGTGATTTTGTGATAAGACATTCTGATAAGACCTCTCTTTGGTGGTCTCGTTTCGAAGACGGGAAAGTTTGAAAGTCAAGTTTCAGTGTTTAGAAATCGCCAATGGTCCATGAAAATCGGTAATTCATTGATACTAACCCCTAGCGTATGTCCGGTGCTTTTCTTATGTAAAAAGTGTAAAGTCGACAACCGTGTTGGAGTGTCTAGTAAGTCAATCATAACAAGTCAAGACTTTGATAAAATAAATTCTGTCAGTTTAAATTCAAATCAGAAAAAATCATTTCAAGTAGTTTGTCAAGTAAAAAATTTACTGAAAAGAGTTATTTGATAAATAACTCTGGATCTACCATTCGAATGTCATTTTTAAATTATTATTGAGTGAGTAATAAAGAATATTTATGAATATCCTTGTATATTTCAGGAATTGTTTAAAAGCAGTTATTTTATTATGGACCGGCATCATAGCTTTCAATGCATCGGTGACCGCTTACGAGATTGATGGTAAGGACATACGTGAATTATATGAACACTATTGTGAAGATATGCTTAAAAGTATTGAAGTATACTTTGTTGATATTCGTAATGAGGATAATCAGGATCTTTTTGATATTGTCTACAAGACTCCAGATGGTAAAAACTACATTATACTAATAATATATTGATTATTTTAATGTAATTGAGTATTTTTTAGCTACTGTTGGACCACTAAGACATTTAACAATACCTTTTGATCGTGCGCCGTGTAAGAAAGAAGTGGAGCATATATTTCGAAAAATTACATTGTCCAAAGAGGTATACCTAATTTATATTTATAATTTTTAATATTAGTAAAATTCAATATTATTGATTATAATTTTAAACTTGTTAATACTTTTTTCACATAGTTAGAACATTTCCGGTCCGAATTAAATGTATGTTTTTACTAAGACTTTAAACAACAACAAAATAAATAAATAACTAATGTGGTTACGGATATTCATTTAAACATATGTATACTTACAATACAGTTGGTTCAATCCCCCCCCCCCCACACACACACAGAAATGTATTTTGAATTGAAATTCAATGTACTATTTGTATTTAAAGAAAACATACCTAGATATCTCAATACAAGTATCCAAAAATTAATATTGTATGAATTAAATATTTACAGTTAATGGCGTCAACAATCAAGCAATTACAATTCACACCATTACAAAAAGAAATGTCAAGGAAATGAATAAATGGATAGATATGGGTATTCATTACTAAAAAAATGTTTAAATAATTATTTACATTAACATAAACTTCTGTATTGCTAAGTAATATAATATTTGTTTTGGGTTATTTCAAAAATTGAAGTTACTTCATTTCTCCTTTAAGAGATTTTGAGAATTAGAAATTCTAGAATTGGTATATGATTGTAATTTGTATAATATGATTACTCTTTTTGTGATATATAAAGACATATGTATATTTTCAGATTCAAGAGTTTTCATTTAAATATTTGTTTGGTTAGGTCAATAACCGTCCTCATAAGTATTAAAATGTGGTACACTTCGCCTGATAAACTCCCCAACCATCATTTAATATTATTTTACAATTAATACCAAGCAAACTGTATCCGTTTTTATGAACATATAACTTCTTCAATTTAAATCATAACTCAGATGAGTCAAATCAATACATACTTAACTAAACCTACATATTATACTCAGTGGCGTATTTTCAAATTTTTTGTGGGGGGGTCTAAATATTAGGTACCTACAAGCTTATAATATAAAAAAAACACATACGAGTTATGATGTAATAATTATATTATATTATATTTTTTTCTGGGGGGGGGGTCGAGACCCGGGGACCCCCCCCGTAAATACGCCACTGATTATACTGATATTACTATATATTATGATACTAACCAGGGCCGTCGTTACGATTTGCGAGGCCTTAGGCAATATCTAAATTGTGAAATGTGAGGCCCCATAATTTATTGTAGAATAAAACCATTAAGATTTCCCATCAATAATAGTAATAATACTATGAAAATCAATCTATTTACATTAGACACATCCTGAACTTCACAATCCACATCTGTGTTTTCTATTCCATCATTTTTATTAACCGAGTTTATTCCATCCAATAAATAATGAACATCAAGAGATGGTGTAAGATTATGAACAATTTGCAACCCAGTAATATTTTCATTTACATTAGACTCTTCCCGAACTTCACAATCCATATCTGTGTTTTCTATTCCATCATTTTTATTTTTTACCAACCGAGTTTACTCCACCCAATAAATCTTGATTTTTTTTACTGACAAACTTTTCAAAACATCCACGTTGTTTTTGCATGAATGCTTCAACTTTTGCTTTTTTCAACCGTTTTTGATGACCTGAAGGATGTGATCTAAATTTATCACGATCACGACTAGCCATAATTACCAATAATTGAATAATTAATAAATAACTTCCTGTGTTTCTGTTAATTATAATATGTACCTAAGTATCAATTTTTTTATCTAATTGTATCACTTAATAATAATAAAATATTAATCTTGAATTATACATTTAAGTATTGAGTTTAAAATATAAGGGCCAGATTTAGACTTCTGGATTCTCGAGGCAAATGTTTTTTTGATGCCCCTAGTAGTCAACCAATTAAAAATACCTAATTCATTTAATAATATAGCAATAATATTAAAAATAATTGTAATAAAGGAGCACACAACACAAAAAAATAGTTTTTTTATTTGAAAGAATGATTAATTCTAAGAATAATGTTATAGGTTTTACACTTATACTCGCATTATTCAATATGTTATGGGAAATTGAAAAAAGACGCGGGACGTCATTGGGCCCAGTCTTCTCGTAATTACCTATCTTATACGTGTAAAAGTTTCTCGCTGCACACAACGATTTACCAACCTAAATATTTTATTTTTTTAATTTAATTTACTTATAAAGGTGTTGTTTTATGTGTTTAAGACGATACAAGTATCAGAATTTCAATATAACGTTTAGTTTCTTAATAATAAAAATCTTAAAGGAGATATTTTTGATGCCAGCACTACCTACCCTTAACGACGGCCCTGGTAGTAACCATCACAGTCGACGATCACCGATCAAATAATTAATGACAACAATTATATATATAGGTTTTAATAATTTTCAATATGTACCTATAACATAAAATATAATACCTATATTAAACTTTTTGTATTGTATAATTTTCAAAACTATATTATATTAGGTATTATTATATACTTAATAATTAATGACAAAAATTGTATATTACTATGTTATATTTTTTATAAAATATTATACGCATTATGACATATTAACATAACATAGAAATAATGTTAATATATAGGTATTCTATTTTACAAAAATTATATACCAATTATTTTATTTATTTTACATATCATATTACAAAACTTTTTGTTTTGGTCGAAAAGTGAATCGGCCGAAAAGGGAAAGGTACGTTTTTGGTCGAAAACGGACATGCCCATGTTTTTTCTCTCTTTTCTCTCCTTTTTTCTTTCTTTCTCTTATATGATTCCACCAAGATGCCCCCAATATGTTCTTTCTCAATCACTCTATATTGGCGTCACTCAGTGCTGGTCAATATTTACTTATTTTGTGTTATGATGGTACCACTATTATTCAACGTTTGTGTGTATGCGTGAGTGTGTGTGTGTGCTTTATTTTATCATTTTATCATTGATAAAATAGTCGCAAAATGGCGGCACAGCATACCCATGGTATGTAGAGCCTTAACATAGGTATCTGTTCTCATGTCAGACATCAGACGTCATATTATTTCAGAAAGGTCAAGAACGTTGATCTATTATATTTTTAAATTTCGTACATAATCACAGAATCGAAATTTTTAAAAAATACCATGTAAGTACCTTAATAACATTTATACTAAGCTAACTTCCTTCTTCCTCTCACCACCAATCAGTTTGACATAATAAATTCTGTCAGTTTAATTTCAAATCAGAAGTAATTATGTCTAGTCGTTTGTCATGTAAAAAGTTGACAAGGTACAATGATATATTTTTAATAAATAATTGGATCTACTATTCGAATACCACCCTTTAAATTATTATTCAGTGAGTAATAAAGAATGTTTATGAATATACGTGTGTATTTCAGGAATTGTTTAAAATCAGTTATTTTATTATGGACCGGCATCATAGCTTTCAATGCATCGGTGACCGCTTACGAGGTTGATGGTAAGGACATACGTGATATATATGTACACTATTGTGGAGGATTGTTTAGAAGTTTGGAAGTATACTATGTTGATATTCGTAATGAGGAAAACCAGGAACTCTTTGATAATATCTACAAGACTCCAGATGGTAAGTGAAAATTGTAGGGTAAAACTGTAAAAACTACATTATACCTATACTATATTGAATATTTTAATGAAATTTTTTTTTTAGCTTCTGTTGGACCACTTAGACATTTAATGGTACCTTTTGATGATTCGCCATGTAATGGAATGAAGCATAAATTTCAAAAAATCGAATTTCCCGATATGGTATACCTAATTAATTTTTATAATTTTTAATATTAGTAAAATTCAATATTATTGTTTTAATTTTAAACTTGTTACTATTTTTTTTCACATTGTTAGAACTTTTCCTTTATGACTTAAATGCATGTTTTTACGAAGGCATTAACAACAACTAACTAAATAAATAAATAATGTATTTTGTTAGATTCTCATTTAAACATATACAATTACAAGACTATTGGTTCAACACCCCCTCCACACTAGAAATTCTCTCGGTTTATGCACACTTAAAAATAACTACTCTTATGTCGGTATAGAAGGTCTCGAGTGTAAAATGGATGAAATAGATTATGAAATTTGATGATTTATCTTTCTATACGAATAATGATTCTGTGAGGGTATGGTATCAATTTTATATTTTCATGGTACCTATGTTTTTTGATTTTGCTTTTAAAGAAACTTATTTTCTCATTAGTATTACGAAAGATAGAATAATCCTTCCAAAAAACGATACATTTATTACATATCTGTATAAAACAATCAAGAATTTTACATGCCTATAAAAAATTCAAAAATAGTCAATATATTTTGAAAATGTTATCTTGTATGGAAAATTGTTATTTAAAACTTTTATGAAAATATACGGATATTTGTTTTTGAGTTACTATAAAATCAAAACATTTTTACTCCACCAAACGGTGATGACAAGGTGATGACTGATACAACAGGACAAAAATTCACATCATCATGAAATCACTACTCTCAGAATCTAAAAATAAAAATAAATAACTGTGTGGTTTTCTGGGGCTTTAAATTATATTAAAGTACTATCAGAAATGTATTTTTAATTGAAACTCAATGTACTATTTGTATTTAAAAAAAACATACCTAGATACCTTAATTTAAGTATCCAAAAATTAATATTGTATGAATTAAATATTTACAGTTAATGGGGTCAGCAATCAATCAATTACAAATCAAACCATTGGAAAAAGAAATGTCAAGGAAATGAATAAATGGATAGATATGGGTATTCATTACTCATAAAATGTTCTTCGGAAAAAAAAAATTTTGTTTTACACCACATAAAATAAAATAAAATTTGTAATTATAATATTATTATTTATAAAATTCAAATGTATAACTTGTCTTATAACATTTTATATGAATAACTCTTAAATAAAAAACAATAGGTATGTCAATATTTGTTATTATTGCATATTTTATCTACTTGATACTTTTAAAGTACCTACTTTACCTTAAAAAGAATATTATATAGTACTTTTGAGATAAAATTTATTGATACAACATATTATAATATTTACAAGGCACTTTGATTTTGAATTTTGGTAGAAGATCCATTTTACATACAGAATGTTTAAAACAGCATTACAATTAACTATAACATTAAGAGGTTACTGACACTAATTTAATCATAACATTCTATAAATAGTTTATGATTATAATTAGTATTGATAAAACTACTAGCTTTTCTTATAATAGATACAATAATATTAAATTATTTAAATAAAAAAAACTTTTCCCTTTTGAAACTGTTATTTTTGAGATAGGTATGACTTTATTCCGGCTATAATAATATTGTGTAACAATATTAGTCTTTCCAGAATAAATATAAAGTGAATGTTAAGTAACTAACTTTTATTTCACTAGTCAATGAATAGTAATAGAAAATTTATTTTTAGTTTGTTTTCTAATTACAATATTAGACAATAATTATGCTTACTGAGGTTTTCATAAAGAATTATCATCAAAATGATTGTATATTGATTAGTAATCTGATATTCTGATGCGCTTAATATAAAAAAAGTTGTCAGTTGTAATTGTATTGTTCATTGGATATATATTTTTCTTTAATATTTAATTTTGCATGAATGAGAGCATTTTTCAAACTAGGTTATTGATGTTTAATATGCCATTATACAAATATAATATTTTATATTGGTAACGTTATTGATGTTTCATCATCTTCACGAGATTGCCATGTAATGCAGGGTTTCATTTAGTATTTTATGTCAGAAAGTTACCAGCAATGTTCCAAAATTAATCACATCTAATTGTCAGAACACAGAATTTCCAAAATTGTTATGTTTTCTTTGAAATTTAAATATGTTCAGATGCTCCGTGCTATTGGATACTGGTTCAGCAATATATTACCTACAAAATTAAAAGTTTGTTAAAAATATTTCAGTTTACTATTTGTTTTCTCTCTAACCTATGAGCAACATAGAAGGTTTGTTAATGTATACTTGGTCTGTAGATTTGTATTAAAGAAAATCAACTTCTCAAAATTGTTCAATATATTGTCTTGACTCCCTAGTTCCTCGTAGGTATCTACATCATATTATTATATTTCAGTTTTGAAAACCATGATATAATACATTGTGTATTTGTGTGAACTAAAAACTGTAACAATAAATCCCTAAGTTACTTATATTAAAAAAAATGTAGAGACGTCGGACAACTATTTCCTTTTGTGTGTTTCGTGTTTGAACTATAAGAAGCTACATTATTTTTTTTAGTGTGCAGTGAGAAAAGTAATTGTGCAGTGAAAATTGTTACTTTTTTTAGTGCATAAATAGAATTTTAAGATGCTATATTGTATTGTATATTATAAAACAATAATTGAGTAAAATTCAAATTAAAAAAAAAATATGTCCATTAAAATCTAAAATTATTATTATTATTCCATATTATTCTAATATTTGATGTAAAAGTAAACTACACAAATTAAAAAGAAATTAGGTACCTAGTCAATTGATTGTTTTTATTTTTATAAACAATTGTTATTACAAATTACCTATTTTAAGTAAATATTACTGTGGAGTTTGGTTTGCGTAGACAAATTCTCACTATAACCTAAGAGTGGGAATAAATTTGTGCAATCGGAAAAAGTTTAAAGTATAAGTATAGTTTCTTACTCATTCGGAGAATTTTGTTCTTGTGCTATTTTAATTAATAATGGTTTGTTTCTTAATATTATGTGTTTTAAGACAATAAGAAGTGTAAATTCTAATTTAGATAATCTACTACTTTTATTAAAAAATGATGAAAAAAATATGCTTTTAGATATAATAATGTGAGTGAAACATGGCATGACGTTAATTGTTATTTGTTGTATTATATCTATCAGTGATTATAATACTTATTTTATTAAAATTAAAAGGAATCTAAACGACGGAATAATTGTTCCGTATAAAAAACATTTATGTATACAGTTTTTTGAATTCGATTCCTGTAAAGCAAATATTGTTAAATTAAAAGTTAATATCTCCAATAATCCAATAATATTTTTATGTAATATAGATCACCATCAAATGATAACCAGGTATTTTTGACCATGTTAAATAATCAAGGCTGGGCAAGTTAACTATTTTTTTTTTAACTCGTTAAGTTAAGTTAGTATGGAAAAATGGAAGTTAAGTTTAAAGTTAAAAGTTAACTTTAATTTTTTTTAACTTGTAAAATTACAAGTTAATTAGAAAATAAAAGTCACTTAACTTAGTTAAAATTAAGTTACTTTTTTTTAAAAATAAAATTAATAATTATACCTACCTACCTTTTATAAAGCCAATAAATAACATAATAATTCAATATATCAATAAATGTCTTACAATTTTTAAATAAATGTTTATAATAAAATAAGTTATTGTAGGTACTTATATTTGTTTATTATACTTTACTCAATGATGAAATCCAATTAAATAATTAAATAATTATTATGTATTTGTTAATGTAAATTAGTTAATTATTTTGAGTAAAGAATTCGTAAAAAATTTTCTTTTTAAATCTAAGGTTTTAAAATGTAATACAAGATTCCTTATAAGATTATCTACCTTTCTCAAAAAAAAAAAATCTCTACCGGAAAGTTAAATTAAATTTTTATGAGCGTTTGAAATTCAAATTTTTACAACATGGGATATTCACTCGATTTCTCATGTAGCGATTGCCTTATTTTGTTGTAATTCAAAAAGTGTAAAAATTATTAATACGTGGCTCCTGATATATTGTTACAATAGCAATTGATAAATATTAAAATTACATAGGCACAATGTTTTTTTATAAGCATTTAAAGATCGAATATTGACAAAATTTATCAAATTTAAAATTGAATAATTATTTTGTAAGTAGTAAGTAGTTAATTCTCTTACCGAAAAATCTAAAAATACATAAGCACAGTTTATTTTTATTGTAATTTTATTGTAAGTTCAAATTTGGATTAAATTACATAAAAAAAACCTAGAATAACTATTTTAGTTATTTTGTTGTGATTGTATAATATTATTCGTTTGTACTTGAAACTTCTAAAGTAGGTACACTATTATATATCTATGGTCTATGGAGTATGGACTATGATAGTATCAGGGTTTGTTGTTGACGTATAACGCATTATAAGTACCTAATGGATATTGTGATATGATTAATTTGGAATTTATTATAGGTACCTATTTTAGGTAAATTTTTTTAATACCATAGATATATTTTGTTTTTGTTATATTTTTTCTTTCAAGTTTTTTTTTAATTATACCTCTGTTATAAGTTTCATAATATGTGTCAATTATTACCTATGTAATGTGTTTTTTTTGTCAAAGGGCTTATGCCCGTATGCCCTTATGTTACTTCAATATGTTTGTCATCACGGTTTGGGGCAGTAAAACTGTTTCGATTTTCTTCAACAGTATCTTGTTCGATGGGAAAGTGAATCTAGTAAGTGCATTCGGGAGATCAAATTTTAAAATTCCCAATAGTTTTCATGAGCGCAGGGAAAAACAACATAAAAATTAAGGAAAAACTGGAATTTTTACGCAAAATTGGTTTTCCAAAAAATCGATTTTGGTATTTGGTGGTACTCTAAAACAAATGAACGTATATACAATACATTTTTACTGGTTGTTTATATTTGCATTTTCTATACACGATAAAATTTTCAAAATATTATGATTTGTTTTGAACTGTTTAGGAACATTTTCATTTTCCATGTTTTTATTTTTTTTATTTTTTAAGAATATCAATAAAATGTTATTTGTTGGTTAAAAAGCTTGAAAATTTAATAGAAGGCTCCAAGTATATTTTTCCAAAGGCAGATGAAAAATATTAAATATCCTTAGTCACAGTTTTTTTTATAAGCATTTAAAGTTCAAAAATTGACAAAATAAGGAAATATCACGAAAATTAGCAAATTATTTTTAGTTAAGAAATCGTAAAAATTTTTCTTTTTAAATCTAGGATTTTAAATGTAATACAAGATTCCTTATTAAATTATCTACTTTCATCAAAAAAAGAAATAATATCTTTAAGAAAGTCTAATTAAATTTTTATGAGCGTTTGAAATTCAAATTTTTACAACATTGGATGTTCACTCGATTTCTCATGTAGCGATTTCCTTATTTTGTTGTAATTCAAAAAGGAATAACTGTACATACATGAAATTTTCATGCATGTAAATTCGTTTATGTTATTATTGTGAATAAACTACTTTTTAATTTATGAAATTACGATTAATTTATTTTAATATAATCAGTGTTTATCAGCCTATGTTGTTTGTCTATTAGATCATGACAACCAAAATATTAATAATATAAACAAATATTTATTAAAGTAAGCCCGGGCCTACCCACGTACTTTTCTCCAAAAATAAATTAAATTAATACTTTGTATCTTATTACATAATATATTAAATATAATTAAATGAATATATTATTAATTATTGTACCTAAATATGATTCAAATTATTTAAATTCTGATGGTTTTTATTGACTTGTGGTTCAATAATCAATTTCCTATCGGCACTTGACGATATGCATAGTGTGAATAGTGTGATCCAAGTCGATGTAATATGTATTATAGGCCATATTATGGCATATAGTGTCAATAATATATTCTACTCAATTCCACTTTATACTTGATGGATGCATGACCTATGTAATTATAATTATAATTAACATTCACATAATATGAATTATTAAAAGTCACATCTATATAAAATATTATCCA